AACAAAATTCGATATGCAGATGATACAACCTTACATGCGGAAAGTGATGGACTTGAATGCTTACTGCTGAGGATCAAAAAATAAAACTTTCAGTATGGATTACAATTCCACATTGAAAGAAAAACAAACAAACTCCGCACCACCGAACCAATACACATTATGATAAACAAAAAGATCGGCGTTATCAAGAATTTAATTTTACTTGGGTCTACAGCCATTGCCCATGGAAGCCACCACACCCTGCCACTGCCATGTAATTCATTCTTTCAGTGACCCATAGACCAGCTTAGAACTGCTCCCTACGGTTTCCAAGACTCAGAGTCTTTATGGGAGCAGATAGCCTCACCTTTCCCCGGCAAAGTCTCTAGTGAGTTTGCCATTAACAGCCTGGCATTTAGCCCACTGCACCCCTAGTGCCACTCCTCCTGGAAGCAGCAGTCAAGAAGTCAAACCACTGGGCAACTGGGCTTCAAAAGACCTCTGAGGAGCACTAGGGACCTGACCTAAGGCACGGCATTTGCAATCGTCTCATATGCGATGGAGAAGCTGGGCAGAGAATACGCAAGACTGAAGAAGAATGATCCACACTGACAGTGCTCCTTCCAAGGCGTCGGGTGCATTCTTCCAGCGGTCCATGGAACTTCCGATGTGCTTTGCCAAATCCGCCACTCTGTGCGCTTTCCTGTTCGTCCAGCCTCGTCACACAGAGGAGACAGCTGCAAAGATCACACCTTAGGCTTGGGAGTGGCATCCTTCCTTTTGAACACATTAAAGAGGTGGCTTGCAGCAGATTTTCCCAAAGCAAAACGAGGTTAAGAAAGTTTAAAACAATGTATTTACTCAATGACCTGGTTGATTTTCTTTTTTTTTTGTTTAAGTTAGTAATCTTCTATTGGAGAAATTCCAATTTCTAACTTGGAATGCACATCAATGGTAATTTCTCAAACAGCAACGTTGATGGTTGTGTTGAAGTCCACAGCCACAGCCTGCTCCAAGTCACGGTTCAGAGGGGTTTGTTTTGTTTTGTTTTGTTTTATTTTGTTAAACAGTAGCAGGGACCGCCTGGCCCTCACGCACAATGCAGGTGTTAAGGCAGCACAGGCAGGCAGGCATGCCACCAGGGGGTGTGACCACCACCATGGGCTGGAGCACAGGGCTGTCTAAGAGGACCCTCCGAGCACTGGGGCTACATCTCAACAGGCTACGCTCCTTCACCCCCTCCTCCACATGTCACCCTGAGGGACACACATTTCAAATGTGTTTGTTTTGGGTTAACTAGCTACAATGTAGGCTCAACCAACTTAACTAGAACCAGTTTGAACAGGTTTGCTCTTTTTTTCTTTTCTTTTTTGGTTTTGGTGTTTGTTTTTTTTCAGTTTTCAATTTTAATACAAATGCCAGACTGTGTCCAATGGTCAAGCTGCATGCATGGAAAACTGGCCAGCCCAGTGGGCACGTCATTAGCAAATGGATTTTGAAGGAGTCCACTAAGTGCTTTCTTATCAGTAGCTTGTACAAGTATTGATATAGTATAAAACTGATGTGCAGCTTGATCTTTAGGGGACAGGATTGTAAACCAATACATACAGATGGGAGGGTGGACAGAAGGTACTTTTTT